CTCTCTCTCTCTCTCTCTCTCTCTCTCTCTCTCTCTCTCTCTCTCTCTCTCTCTCTCTCTCTCTCTCTCTCTCTCTCTCTCTTGCGTGCGCGCGCCCGCGTCGTGACGGATCGAAAAACTAACTGTTGCGTTTATGTACATTGTGAGAAAAAAAACGAAAAGCGACATGCACTGTCTAGGTCCCGCACAAGGAAGGTACAAAGGAGGGAGAGGAGGAAGAGCCGCCGAAGGATAAGGTAAGGCCACTGAAGGAAGGAGGGAGGGAGGAAATGAGGGGGAGGAGGAGGGAGGGAGGAAATGAGGGTGAGGAGGAAGAAAGAGGGGGTGTAAGCGAGAAGAGGCAGTGGTGAAGAGAAGTGAAGTAGGCAAGGAATTGAAGATAAGGAAGAAAGCAGAAGACCGAGAAGAGGAAGATGAACCAGAATGCAGTGCGACTCACATTCTTGCCACGTTGCACTACCGGTAGCCTGGGTAGTACCTCTACACCGATCGTCGCGATCGCAGACAGCATAGGCCGGGACGTCGCTACTGGAGGCAGTGCAGGTCGTGGAACACGGCCGATCCCTTCACGAGTGCGGCGCCTCTCACGGCCGATCCCCTCACCTGTGCGGCGCCTCTCTAGGCCGATCCCGTCACGAGTGCGACGCCTCTCTCGGCCGATCCCCTCACCTGTGCGTCGCGTCCCTCGACGTGTCGCACTCAGCCAAGACTGCCGCAAGCCCGCCTTACACGCAGTGTAGAGCAGGTCAGGGCATACTCACACGAGCACTTTCCTGACTGTATCACAGCAATTACGCCCATTCCTGGATGCATCTGACTGCAGTTACGTCCATAGAAAAGTCGAAAAGTCCAATTGTGAAGTGCTTTGCATGGAAGGCGGGAAAAGAACGACGGTGCCAAAGGGGCAAGTGACCGTTTTCCCTAACCCAGGCCGAGCTGGGTTCGCCAACATGACCACCTGGGTTGGTGCAAACGGTCATGCCCGTGGCCACCTCTGTCCCCGGCGACCCCGCCTACCCCGACTGCATTAAAGGGAGGCCTACCGTCTTCACCCGAATAGAACGCCCCGGGAGTTCTCATCACCCCAAGAAGAAGAAGTCATACCCTTTTACGCAGTTTTCCCCAGATATCACGGCCCGGTGTCGGCCCTTCGAATATAAAGCCGGGCGTTACATTTGAATGTACACTGGGGTTTGAAGGCCGTTGGAAGTGGTTTGAAATTCTAAGAGGTTCGCTTTAGCTTGATTTTTCTCGCTCTTTTTTTTGGGGGCAAGGAAATTTTCGATATGGCTTGAAAGTTTGATTCATTTGCGGCATGCCCCTCTGATAACCATTGAAGTTTCTGGCAAAACCGTAGCGTCATTGGGACCTGAAATATGTTCAATATCGACCCTCTTCCGGCGTATGTGGCACCACGAGATGTTATACCATTCAGAATCGGGGGGGAAAACAAAATTCACACGGCCCATAAACGAAGGCCGTGGTGTTTTAAATGTCAACAATATGGGCACAGCGTTTCGGAAACTGATTGCCCCCACCATCCTGCTAGGCGCATGAAAACCACCGGTCGCCTGCTCCGAGACCCGTTTCAAGCCACACATTGGAGAACGGTGGACCCAGGCCATGAGGGACAAACCCCCCGACCATTGGATCCCCCCACACTCAGTTGAAGAACACTTGCGCACGCAGCATAATCACCAAGATCCCCCCGCCTCAGGACAAACGCAAGAACCCCGCCCGGAGGCCTTTCTCAAAGGAACTGAAGTAAAGGAAATATGGCAGGAGGTCTCCCCCCCAAAAAAAACAGAGAAAACAGCGAAGCCGGTCCCTGCACATAGTAAGAAAACCACAGGAAACGGGATTAAGAAGAATGCGATCCGGGGTATTAACCGCTTTGCAGCTTTGGAAATAGAAGGATTGGAGCAAGCTGTGCAGCAAAAGAAGGGAGAGGAGGGAGGGGGCGCGTTGCAAGCAAACACAACCTGTCCCCAACAGCAGACAAGGGAACAGATAACAAAGGAAATCAGGGGACAAGGATCTCTTGCATTGCAAGGAGACACAGCAGAGGGGGAGGGGATGCTACAGAGTGGAAAAGTCGAGTCTCAGCAGCCAGCACTCGCAGAGGGACAAGAGAGTTGGAAGGCAGAAACACAGTCGGGGGGAAGAGACACCCAACACTCTCACACAGGCAAGGAGGCAGAACCGGAAACATCAGAAAGGGCTGGCTCATAAATGAGCAACGGGAAACAAAGCCCGGTCGACAAACGCTGTGAGTACCTTGCATTTAAATTCCCCCAACCAGAGGACCCCTTCCAGCAAGCCTTCGGCCCTGAGCCACTGGAGGTGGAAGGGCCAGAACCGCAGATAAAAGAAGCATCCATGCCGCCACCAGAAGTAATCATGACTAATCCCTCGTCGGAAACGCAACAGGAGAAGGAGACAGGATGAAGGCCCTGATGGAATGGCTCCATACACAACTAAAGGGTTGCTATGCACACCTCACTTATCTGTCAGATGCCTTCTGGGACCAGGCATATCTTGACCTCTTCGAAATGTTGGACACCAGCCCGAGTCCCCAACAAGCTCTGGAACACGGGCTTCCCCAGTCGGGCAGCTGGCAGGAAACCTGGCACCGAGTGTTGTGCATTGTCCACCGCCATTTTCACTGCTCCTTCCCCCCCCCGGGGCAGGGGCAGTGCAGCCCCCCCCCACCAGCCTCTCCTCTGGACCCGTCGCAGGCACCATCGCCCCCGCCTCAATCTGAGTCCACCAAGGACCCTGATGGAAGGACCCAGGACTGCTTCGCTGCCCACGTTTACAGCACCTGATAGAAAAAGGGCTCCATTAGGGACCACTACCTCTGGGGAACAAGGTTTTGGCAATTCTGATAAGGAAAAAAAATGGCTGGTGGGAAATAGGCCTCTCACCTGCTGAAGAAAATGACTATTCCCTCTGTCGGGGGGCACTCACACTGCACGGCTGGAGGCTGCAACAGGACGAGGAAGGACAATGCAACCTCAGGCTTAAAGAGGCAAAGGATTTCATCATTACGCATTATGAAGCGGGGGCAAAAGCCATGATGCGAGTGGGGTCGGGTCCCTGTAAAATTGTGAAAAACAACTTATATATCCTCTTTGATGAAAAAAAGGAGGTAGATTTGACTTGGGTGACGCATAATGCGTTATTCGAGCTACAACATCTCAAAATCAAACCCTGTCATATCTGGCCTGATGAGGAGATTACCACCACCTTGTGCTCTATTGTCCGGAAAAATATAATTAACGAAGGGGTTGCATGGGATAGTTACACGTGGCCCCCCCTCTAGGACAAAAAACAGGGGAACCCTCTTTTTTTTTAAGGGAATGCAATGAATAGAAGCATTATACGGCCGCAACAAGGCCTGGCGAAGTACGCTTCGTAATGCAGATCTAGATCTTAGGTCCGTTAACGTAAACGCCCTGGCCACACTTTGCCCGGACAAATCCCAAGCCATACGAGACCTCCTCAGGGGGGTGGAGGGACGAAGCTGGCCGGATGTGGTATGTGTCCAGGAAACACACCTGGCTGATTCTCCTTATCACAACAGAGCACACAAGGCAGTTTGGCCATACGAGGCCTACAAGGCACATACACCACGGCCAGCGAGCTCGGGGACAACGATATGGATTCCCCCAGCCTCCCGTCTAGAGGTCCTGTATCACGAAAGGGACACGGAGGAGGGTCGTTGGGTTTCAGTTCTGGGGGCACTAGAATTAGAAATCGTATGTCTATTTTGCATCTACGCCCCTAACGCTGCAGGTGAACGCGAGAATTTTTTTCAAAAAATCCAAACGAAAATGCCGCAAGGCATTCCCATCATTATCGCTGGAGACTTTAACGTAGCCCCCGATCGCTGGTTGGACCGATGGCAAGTCTCCCCCTCCTCCAGTCATCGGGCAGAGGAAGATGAAGGTATGCTTAACCGTCTGTGCAGTTCTCTCTCTTTTTTTTACACCTTCCACCGTTTTTCCCTACAGAACGGACCTTTACGTATATTCGCAACAATGACCCGACCAGACTCTCCAAGTCAGGGATCGATCTAATCTTGATCTCAGAGGACTTGGCCAACAGTCTAACACTAGCTGCAATCCTCCCCTCTAGCCCCTACCTGGGACTGGACCACAAAATGTGCATGATAGCACTCACCTTTCGCAAAAGGCCAGACCAAGGTCCCGACTTCTATAAGCTAAATACCTCCTTGCTCCGCCTCAAATCCTTCCAGACATATTTGACCCAGGTGTGGGCATACTGGCGAGAACGTTACTCTGAAGTAGACTCCCCTCTGGCATGGTTCAACAATGGACTATTTTTTCTGGCAAAAAAATACAATGAATTTTCCAAACAACTTGCGAAACAACGAAACCAACACGAAACAGACTTGCTAAACCAACTTCAAGAGCTAGAACAACATTCATCACTTCACGACCCGGACCACTATGTGCAGACTACCCAGGCAGTTAAAGCCCAACTACTTCAGCAAGCGCAATACCGTTAGCAAGGCGCCCCAATTCGCGGCAAACTCTCAAACCTCTCCACCGAAGGCTCAATGGACACAAAATTTTTCGGCCTTGCTCGCGCCAGGGCCAAACTCACGGTCGTGGAAGCATTGTACGGACCGGGGGGATCAGAGACCCACCCAGTTACCACAACTGCAGGATGTGTCAAAATTGCTCGTGATTTCTTCAAATACCTCTTTGCAACCCATATACCTCCCACTGACGACGAGACCCGGCGAAAACAAATAGAAGACTTTCTTCAGCCTAGTGACAGACGCCTTTCTCCCAACCACCGAGAGAAGCTAGAGACCCCCTGACCAAGGATGAAATATGGACAGCCCTCCTACAGATGGAAGAGGAGAAAACCCCCGGGTTAGATGGCTTACCGAAAGAATTTTGGGAGACAATGTGGGATTACATGAGCTCTGATCTTATGAGATACTACAACGAAGTATGGCGCACAGGAGAGATGGGGGAGTTAGTCGGCCAGGGATTGTTGTTCCTTCTATACAAGAAAGGAGACAAATTCAATATCCGAAACTACAGACCTATCACCCTCCTGACTGTCACCTACAAAATGTTGGCTAAGGCCTTGGCTAACAGGATGATTCCGGTCCTAGAGAGAGTAATTCACCCATCACGGACAGGGTTTATGCAACATAGGGAAATCCAGGAAAATGTCTTACTGGTCAACGAGGTGTTGCAACTGTCCCGACAAACAAAACAAAATGCAGTCCTCGTCTTTATCGACTTTGAGAAAGCCTACGATCATGTGGACTGACTCTTTCTTGACAAGAGTTTGGTGAAAATGAATTTTGGGCCGGTTTTTCCGTAGGTGGATACGTATCTTCCACTACAATGTCACTACAAGGGTGCAAATAAACGGGACACTGGCTCCTCCGATTGAGTTGGAACGGTCAGCACGCCAAGGTGATCCAATAGCACCCTTCCGCTTTCTCATTATCATGGAGGCCTTATCGGCCAACCTTCAGGCAAATAAAAACATTAAGAAAATCCAGATTACAAGAATTCCAAAGGAAGTCGTCCCGTTATGCTCGCTATTTGCAGACGATCTCACCATCATAGTAGATGCTACACAAGAGAATATGATTGAAATCCATAAATT